ATTACAGTTCATTAGTCATATATATATATATATATATATATATATATATATATATATATAATATATATATATATATATATATATATATATATATATTTCAAAATAACCAACCATAATTCAATCTCTATAACCGCTATCTATACTATTTATATTTTCATTCTTTAAGAATGCACACAGGAATAAAAAAAACAGTTAATTACTAGCATTTTTCAAATTAACCAGCCATACTTCAATCTCTATAACCGCTATCTATACTTTTTATGTTTCCATTCTTTAAGAATGTAACACATGTTCATACACTGATTCTTTGAGAATTAAAGTCAAATAGTATATACAAATAAAGTAAATCCTCAAAATCACAGGAATAAAACAAGAAATAAAAACTAACTCATAATACAATATATATATATATATATATATATATATATATATATATATATATATATATATATACAAAACAAAACAACAATATCATCCCCTATAGTCACAGAACCTCAAACACATACAAGATTTTGGCAAGGTTTAAAAAAACTAACTCAATATACTAAAAAAAATACAAAAACAAATCAACACTATCAGCCCCTAAACTCACACAACAACAACCACATACAAGAATTTAAGTATTGTGATTCTGACAGAATGCATTACATAGAAAACATTGTCATACAACCGTGTATTCTAACATAATATCATCCATAATACTTCTAACAAAATCGACAAAATAATGAAAAAAAAAACAAAATCATTTTACTCTTCCAAAACACAAAACACAAACAACAATCACATACCATTTTTTTTGCAAAACAACAGTCACATATCTGTAAAATCCAAAATTTTAATCAAATTATAAATCCCCAATTTCAGAAAACCCTAATAAAAAAATACCTTGTTTTACACTATTTCGGTCTACGTTACTTAATACAACTTTAAAACCACATGCAAATACTACATTGTTCAAACATTCCAACATAATGTTGTGTATTCAAATGATAAAGTTAAAAAAAAAATTACCAATAGGCGGAGAAACGAAATAATCATCGTCTTCATCTAGATTCAACACCGTTTATTGTGTGTTCTTAAATTTCAATTTGAAAGAAGTCGACCTTGTACTCCTCATTATACTCCAATTTCTTTTACTTCAAATGATCACAATGCAACTTCTGTAAACAACTCATCAAGAATCGATGAGTATATATAAAAATGACAACAAAATCTACCGAATTTTTGGTTGATTAGAGAAGATATACTTTGATTTTGTGTTCCGATACAAAGGGGAGTTGAATCCGGGTTCATGCGATGTTATAGGGATTATGCGGGAAGTTGTGATAAATAGAGTCAGTTACCTATTTTAATGGAGACAACAAATGTACACAAATAGAGTCAGTTACCTATTCATCTGTTTTCTTTAAACGTGAGACTTTTTTCATTTTTTAATATCAAATTAATATTAATCATTTTCTATTAAAATTAAATATTTGATTGACTCACATTTATGCATACATCCATACAATAATTACTTTGAATAAAATAACCTAAGCATATATATATATATATATATATATATATATATATATATATATATATATATATATATATATATATAATTGTATTATTTATTATCGTACATCATAACAAAGCTTTATAAAATTTATTATGACTTACAACATAAATTTTTATCTACGATAAAAGTTTTGAATTCTATTACATAAATAACTAAAGTTAACATATCATATATGTGATGCAACTTAAAACGATATTTTTTAGTTTCTTTTAAATGATTACATGCAAGTACTGAACAGATTATTTAAAAAGATTATATATGTAAATTGTGTTATAAAATAAGTTAATGAATAGCATATTTTTGTTATTTTCGTGAGGCTGTTAGATATTGTATTTATATGTGGATGACTTTTTTGATTTAAAGTCTAGTGTAAAAAAATATATTTCAAAAACAATAGTTATTGATAAAAATATGATAAGAGTATAAAATAAAAAAGATTTTAACCTTTGCTTTTTCAACTACCTATCTTCTTTTTCTGACATGGTTAACCTTTTGCACAAGCACAACATTACTACCAAGAAAAACAATTTCAAACTCGGAATTTCAAATTTTCTTTTTAGTGTATAAACATAACTCATCTTCCACAATAAAAGCTATGAAGTTTAGAGTATTTCCTAAGGAAAATCTCCATTTAAGTCCTATTATTTTGACTGTATTTACGAAAAAGTGCTAAACTATTACATGTTAACGAAAAAACATGAAATACCGGATAAACCGGCGAATTGACCCATTTTACCCGGTTACCACTATTGCAACCGGTAACAAATCGATGTGGCATTAAATGAGATTAGGTGGAAGGTGAGTCGACCAAACATCACACACCCATTCCTTCAATGGTAAGTCACACACAGTTATGCTAATATCCTCTCTGTAGAAATTAGGGTTTTTTACGTGTGAAGAAGACGACAACTGTGGGCACCAGTTCGAGTCTTCCAAGCTTTGCAAATGGAAGACGTCTTGGATTTTGACACTATTGATGTTGAAGTTGACAAGGATTTGAAGAAGCAAACCAAGAAATGCAATGATGCGTTCTTGAATAACTTGTGTCCCGACATAGCTGGTGAAGAAGGCGATGACATAGAGAACAAGTAAAACCGGAAATGGTTCTTGGAATTGAAAGGTCAATGTAAGGGAGGATTGGTAAATGCTATAGGGAGAGATGCAAATAATCAAGTGTATCTCATTGCATGGGCTGTAGTTCACATAGAGAACAAGTTAAACTGGAAATGGTTCTTGGAATTGATAACAAATGATTTAGAATTGGATGGTGGAAGGGGTATGGCAGTAATTTCTGATCAACACAAGGTACTTCACAAAAACTTTACTATTTATTTACTATATACTTTATATTTAGTTTATCTTATGTAATTGTTATTGTTATGAATAGGGGCTTCTTGAGGCTACAAATGAAGGCCTACCACTTGCACAACACAGACAATGTGCCAGGCATATATATGCCAACTTCAGAAAGGGGTATAGTTTAACAATATGTTATTGGTTGCTGCAAAATCAACTGTTGAAGGGGAGTTCAACATGAACATGGAAAAGATTAGGGATATTAGTCCATCTGCTTATGAACGTCTAATGGAAAGGGATCCCAGTTCATGGTGCAGGGCCTTCTATGGTGGAGGATTGGCATGTGAGGCAGTAGAAAATAGAATGGATGAATGTTTTAATGCAATTATCGTGGATGCTAGAAAAAAGCCCCTACTGGCCATGCTTGAGGAAATATGACTATACATGATGGAAAGATTCTATAATCTGAAGGAAGAAGGACAGAAATGGGATACTCAAATATGTCCAGCAGCAATTAAGAAGATGGAAGCATTTGGTGAAAGTTTAAAGTAAGTTATCCTACAATTTAATTCACTAAATTTATCTTTCATATGATGATGTACTCTTAATTACGGGACCTAGTATGTTGATCCTAGTGGTGTAACTGCTTTTGAAGTGAGGAAATGGTTTTTACTCTTATGGTGTTGACTTATAGGGGTATTCTTGTATTGTAATTTGTGGGCTGTATCAGGGATACCTTGTGTACATGCCCAAGCTGCCATTATGTATACATAACAAGATCCTATGTGTTAAATTAGTAGTTGGTTTGCTAAAGAGAAATATATGGTAACATATGGTTCTAACATACTACCAGTCAATGGTAGCAATATGTGGGTGGAATTTCCTTATCCAAAGCCCCTCCCACCTATTGAAAGAAGGATGCTAGGAAGGCCAGCCATCAAGAGAAAGAGGCATGTTTCTGAACATGAGGACAAGTTTTCACAAGTATCATCTAAGGGCAGAACATTCCAATGTACAAACTGCAAGCAAAAGGGTCACAATAAGGTCTCTTGCAAAAATCCCAAGGTGATCCCTGAACCAAAACCAAAGAAGAAAATGGGAAGGCCTAAGTTGGATCCTAATCTTACCCATTGGAGAAGAGTTGGAAGTAGAGGAAGAGGTGGAAGAGGTGGCAGGGGAGGTAGTAGTGGTGAGATGGGGGAAAGTATAAATGGACCACAGTTTGAGGTTAAACCTGAGTATGAGGTTAAACCTGAGTTTGAGGTTAAACCTGAGTTTGAGGGTAAACCTGATGTTGTGGATGAGGGGGATGGAATTGATATACCAGATATGGATATAATAGTAAATTCCATTATAAGTTTGAGGTTATCAAACTACAGTGATGCTGAAATAATGTCTACTCTTAGAATTAATGAACCTCAATTGAAGGAGTTTGGAGCTTTAAATGTGGTGAGTGTTTACTTTTAAGGGCATTACAAATCTAAGCCAAAATTTGAAATTATTTGTTTTTTTATTCAGGAAACCAATGTTCAAACAGTACCAGTGACTGAAGAAGAGGTCAATGGAGGTATTCAGTCTGAATATGATCAGAGTGATGAGGATACCCAAGAAATCAGGAGGAGGAACACCCAACAAATCAGGAGGAGGAAGCCATCAGAGTGGATAACTGAGTTGAAGTTGAAGAAACAGGTGGTGAGAAAATTTGGGATGAGTTCAAACAATGCACTTACTTTAGAATAGAGGAAATGATTGTGATATGGTAGCCTTTTTTTGTAAGTAATTCATTGTATTGGCTTTATATAACTCTTTAGGTAAAATTTGCCCATTTTGTAAATTTTTTAGAAAGTCAAACACTATGACATACCTTGGTATGTACTTTGGTATGGTTTATAATGTTATTTGAAATGTACTTTGGTATGGTTTATAATATACATTGGAATGTATTTTGTAATGCAGCTTCCTATAGTTATTTGGAATGTACTATTGTATGCTTTGTAATGTCAACACATAACTTTACAATATGCATTTCATACTCAGATACCATAACATTAGAAGATCAAGTTTTCCACAATTCATACCATTACATTGCAAAAAAAACATGGAATCCTAACATTACATAGAAGCATAAGTAAACATCCTAAAATTACATAACCATAACCCAAACAATTGCAATCAAACCAACGAAACACCATATCTTACATCCCCTAACAACCATTCCACCTTCCACTTGCAGAGGAATCTGTTGCACTACTTCTTCCACATCTTCATCCATAAAGTCTTCAAATTCTTCAACATTGACTCCATGAATTCCTTGGTTATGAAAATCATAGATCATTTGTTTGTACCAGTTGTTTGGTAATGGAGGATCTATCCATTCAAAGAATTTGCAATCCTTCTCCTTATCCTGCATTGGAAGACATTTTGCATAGTGTAACTACTATGGTGTTTAATTTCAAAGATTTGAAGAAAAAACCTCACATTGTAACTAATATAGGGTTTACTTTCAAAGATTCGAAGACACTCACCTTGTAATTGGGGAAACCAAGGAATCTCCTTCTAGGGTTCTTCGGTTTCCATGAATTCCACATGCTGACCGGTTCATCACAATCGCACCTTCTTCGAACTTGCCTGGCTGACCTATATGCACTACTGTTGGAGAAGGATGAGGAGGAGGCCATATTCAAAACTTGCAATTTGGTCGATTTAGGGTTTGTGTACTCTTAAATAATGTAAGAGAGTAAGTTAAATAATGTAAGAGAGTGAGGTATGGTCGAGTCAGCTTCCATGTAAGCAAAATAATGCCACATCGATTTGTTACCAGTTGCAAGAGTGGTAACCGGGTAAAATGGGTCAATTTGTCGGTTTATCCGGTATTTCATGTTTTTTCGTTAACATTTAATAGTTTATGACTTTTTTGTAAATACAGGCAAAATAATAGGACTTAAATGGAGATTTCCCTATTTCATAATGTTTAAATACATTTATTTTCTCATCTTCCATAATAAGAGTTAGTTATTCATTATAATTACATACCAAACTAAAACATATATTAATATCAATATAATATTTCATACATCAATAGAATCCAAATATTAAATTTGATTTTGCTATATATTTTTGAACACATGTTAAACAAAACATTTCATTGTATCTACATAATTCACATATTATTGGAATATATAATCCATTAAGTCTCTTTGTCATAAATACACCCTTCAAAATTATAAAAAAAAATTCTAGAACTAAAACTTAAACAAAAATAAAACAAAACCAACTATTTAACTAACAATTACCATCGCATATCTGAAATTTCATAATAACAAAAGTAGATTAACTAAAGAAACTATATCTCTTACCATTGATTTGCATACATCCAATGTAAATTAAAAGGAAAATTAAAATATTAAATTGAAATAACTTTATTGATGAGCCTCAAATCGGAACACAAGTATCAAGAACTAAAAGTAGCCTAAATTATCATAGGCATTTAAAAAGAAAGGTCGGTATCTAAGTTCATACATATCTAAAGTTATTACAAATTTAATTATTTTGGATAGGGTTGATGACCTATAAAGGTAATGAACTTTGGTCGTTGTCCATATTTAAGTAACCATGTTTTTTTTCGTACACATTTGACTATTGAACTTGTTTGACATGTTCAAAATAGGATAGTATAACTGATAATAGTCATATTACCCTATTTTGAACAGGTCAAACAAGTTCAATGGTCAAATGTATATGAAAAAAACATGGTTATCTAAATATGGACAAAAACCAAAGTTCCTTACCCATTTTGGAAATAGTTGGTTCTTTATGCTAAGTCCAAGTAATCATAATACTGACTAATGTGACACGAAATCGGCCTATCAGGTCTTTATGTCAGATCTTGAGTAGGTATCGTTAGCAGGTTCCTGACTTGGTTCCTAGGTGAGATCATACAACAAAAGTGTTAGAACCTTCTTAGGGACTATGCTCTAGGATCAAGCTCTGATGGTCAAGTTAGATCGATGTGTATGAGGAGATTGTTTATCCTTGCTGGAGTGGGAAGAATGTATATATAAATTGGAGGCTTATGTTTGAGAATGAGAGATTCTCCTCATGGAGGAGGAGGAGGTGTAAGGAATTTGGTTTTTGTCAATATTTAGGTTACACTTGACCATCTTCTCATACATAAAGACAAGGTAGCCCGATTCCATGTCACATATTGTACTTAACATAAAGAACCTAATATTTCCAAAACAAGTAAGGAACTTTTGTTTTTGTCCATATATAGGTAACCATGTTTTTTTTTCGTACACATTTGACTAGTAAACTTGTTTGACCTATTCATAATAGGGTAATATTACCACTAATTATCAGTCATATTACCCTATTTTGAACAGGTCAAACAAGTTGAATGGTCAAATATATACGAAAAAAACATGGTTACCAAAATGCTGACAAAGTTCAAAGTTCATTACTTTTCTAGATCATTAACCATTTTGGATATATTTAGCATTAAATAGTTGATTTGTCGGTGTTGTTTTAAATATATTTAGTAATAAATTTTCAATCAAATAGTTTTTGTTTGGTTTTGATTTTATAAGGTTAAAAAGCAAGAAAAAATAATATTCAATATTAACAATATTTTAAATAGTACAATCTCAAAATATATAATTAATTATGCTACAATTCAATCAATTTACATAACAAACGTATTTACCTAAAACCATATAAGAAGGATCTATATGACACCCCGTAACCATACAAATATCTACAATTGATCCATTTAATTTTTTAATTTCGTATAGGTCTTGATAGTACAACGATTTAGAGAAAGGAAGAGAGAGCCTGGAAGTGAAGTATCATAAAAGCTAGAGAGAGACTGGTCCTTGATCATCTTCCAGATTCATGTTAGAAATTTGAGGTAATAAGGCAGTTGGATATTCTAAGAATTTTAATCTCACTTTTAAATCAATGTATCTGGGTGGTACTCCTTAATCTTTGATTGAATAAGACTAGAAAGAGATTCACAGCAGAGAATGAAAAGTATCAATTTCGTCAGTACCAAAAAAATGACTAAAATTTGGTTAAATACCTTCTTTGTTAGAAAACTCTCAAAAAAAAAAAAAAAACAGTTTCATGTCTGAGAAATGATAAAACTATCATAAAACAGTTTTTCCAACAATCAAAAACTGTCATAAAGCATATTTTCTATAAGGATTAATGCAAAGATAAAACTGGGTCAAATATTCAAAATTTGGATTTTCGACCCTAGCCAGGGGTTGCCGCCCCTTGGACCCCGTTCCCAGGGGGCGCTGCCCCCAGACCCCTATTCGTTCAGGGGCTTCGCCCCTAAATGACAATCTACTTTGAATCTTGAATAAACTTATGTTGGATTAGGTGTCTAGGCCCATAACTATAATTGGTATAAACTTGAATTGATAGTAACACAGTCATTTTGGGTTGCCTTCAAACCTAGCAATTGGAAATGATGATTTTTGGAGAGAGATAGAGAGGTTGATTTATTATTTGATTAATAAATTGAAATAAATAATTTGTTAATATATTATTAGAATAATATATTAATTAGAAATAGTAATATTAAACTAATAATTAATCAGAAATTAATTGGAATTAATTTCGGGATTAATGGAATAAATTAAAAGTGCAAGGACTAAAGTGTAATTGTTCAATAGTTAAGCAAAAGGTTCCAGAACCTTCCCCGCATAGGGTGGACGGTTTCTAAAGGCATTTTAGGGTTCTAGAATTATCCTTGAAGGATGATTAGGAAGTTGGATAATTACCAATTCAAGATAATATTATTATATTAGTTTTGGGCTTATCTAGGGTTTCTTACTTGCACTAGATAAAGGCCCCGTAACCTTCATATTTTGGCTATCTATTCTTCCTTTAGGGTTGGCTGAAATTATTTTCCCTCTCTACTCTCTCCTTAATATCATTTTCTTCTTGTGTTGGGTATGAACCATTAGAGACACGAAGCTTGTGGTGCTTGCTTCCAAAGCTTCAACAAAACAAGGATCGTTGTTATTTGCTATAATAACAATAAGGTAAGTAATCATAAATGCTTTTATGTGTTTTTCGACAATTACCTTGGGTTTCTAGGGCTCTTATTTTTGATGTTCATAGTTATAGGTTCAATAGTGAAAACATAGATCTTGTTATGCCTAAAACCAATCAATGGTATCAAAGCATTAGGTTTTTTTCAATTGAACTTTCTATAATTTTTGAATTTGATTAAATTAGGGTTTATGGAAATTAAACCCTATAAGGCAACAAATTTCGAAATTAGATTAGGGTTTTTTGCCCAAAGTTTCGAAATTAGGGTTGGGGTTTTGAAACCCTAACCCTCCTCCTCAAGAAATTCGAATTTAAGGTAAGGATTTGAATCCCTTACCTTCCTCCCCATGCAAGATTTTGAAAATGGTGGGTTAAGGATTTTTTTTTTAAAATTTTGGTAATTATCTTTTTACTTTCCTTAAAAAGGGACAATTAAAATTGGATAAATCTATATCTATTTTTGAAAATTTAGGGGTATAAGGATTAGGATTAAATTAATTGATTAATTTGATTGGATAATCCTTATTTGATTTAATATAATTAACTAAGTGTTAATTAATAGATAATTATTAAATCATTTGGTTTATTTTTTAAATTTAAATTAATTATTTAATTTTCAAAATTTAAATATAAACCTAGTATTTTGGAAAAGCTTTTAAAATACACCTTATACTATATGTAAAATTGAAAGTTTAATAATTACTATATGTATAAAACTAAGTCAGTCGAACCGCTAGTACGCCTCATCCATGAAGACATATTATAAGGGGAGTTTAAGGAAGCGATCTATAAAATGATCGGCATTGGGTATCCATTCTTACCCACCGCTCTCTTGTATGGTGGAGGGTTGTTAGCCGAACGGGTTTGATAGAACAAATAAATTCTAATTAATAAGTATAATGAATTAAAAGTAACTAAACCCTTTTATAAAGAATCCCAATCTTAGTTACTTTAGGAAAAATGTGAATCTGTATGCTAACCCATGAAATTGGACATTATACTTTATCGTATTTAGTGGAGCGTGTGTGGTTAACAGGAACACTAATAATGACTATAAAGAGTAATAATGGGCATCTCGAAAATTATCATTGATTAATGGAGCGTGTGTGGTTAACCGATATATTAAAATGAGATGGTAAATGACATCGAGAGTGCCAAGCTAATTTGCATGGTTATCCACATCTTGTTTGTGATCCTCAGTATCCCAGTCACAAATGGAAGAGCATAATCTGAGATTAAACATATCATTGAATAGTTTCAATAAATCTCAAAAGATCTAGGAATTTCACTTAGCTTAATTCTTTTCAAATTTCATTTTCTATTGGTGGAATTGGTAAATCATCATTTACCTACCTTTATAAAATTTACAATTAGATTACGGCATCCTTCTTCTAAGTTGTGAATTATATAGTTGGATCCTAGCCTTAATATTTCATTTTTGGGTTGTTATATTAAGGATTATTCTTATCTCACTGACACTACCTTCTTTTTACAGATGTCTACTTCAAATGATTCTTCTGGTTCCTCCTCCTCCTCCCCCCACAACTTTTCGTTGTTGAACATCTGCTCGAAGGTGACATTGAATGGCACCAAATATAACGACTAGATACGCAACATT